TGTGTGCACGTGTTTGTGTTGGCGTGTGTGCACCTGTGCATGTGTGCACGTGTTGGCGTGTGTGCACCTGTGTATGTGTGATGTGTTTGTGTTGGCGTGTGTGTATTTTTGGGTGTGTATGCACGTGTGTGCTCACGTGCCTGTGTTCCATTGTTCAATAACTTATGGCCACGCTGTCCCTGCAGCGCTTTGAGGTTTACTTTTAATGGAGCACAGACCTGCTGTTTGCCCACCTGTACCTAGAGGCTCCATAAGCAGGGCAGCTCAGCCCAGGTGACAGCAGAGCAGAGGGGTAGGCTGGGCTAGCGTGGGAGGGTACCCGGAGGATGGGGCGTGGGAAGTGCGCGGGACCAGGCCGATGGGCAGTCCCGCCATCCCTTTCGTCTTGGGCCCGGTGGCCCAACGGGAGGCTGGGTCGAGGGGCGGGACTGGCGGCGGCCCCGCCCCGGGAGGAGCCTCCAGGCGCTGGTCGAGGAAGTGCTGGCGGAGGAGTCTGCCGTCTTCCCACATCTCCGGTGTTTGGCGGCGACAGTTGGTCGGTCGCTGGTCTGTCCGGCGTTGCTGCTACGGAAACTGGACCGCGCCACTGCTGGGCTCTGGCCCGGATCTGGTTGGGGAAGCCTCACTCTGGCACAGGAGCCGCCCGGAGCTGGCACAGGACGCCAGGGCCCAGGCGAAGTTTACTTCCAGCGCGGAGGAGGCCGGCCACCCGCCAGGAGGTCAGTACCCGGCGCGAGGGTGGAGCCCAAACGCTGCTTCGGCGCTGAGGGCGACCCTGACCCTCACATTCCCAGACACCTCGCAGCCTTAGGGCCCCGGCCCACCCATCCTGATTCCTGCCCTGGGGCCCCCAGCGCTGGACCCCCCAGCCCACCTTTGGCCCCCCTGAGCCCCAAGTGGTTGGACACTGAGTGCCAAGTGCCAACAGGTGAAGGAGAAGACAGCGTGAGCCTCGGGGTGCTCCAGGATGCCGGTCTGCTGGACCATGAGCCCCTGCTGGGGGCTGCAGCCTCAGCCAGCGCCGTGGCCCCGCCACTGGAGGACGTGCCAGAGGCGGACAGTGGGGAGGACGAGTGCCCCATCTGCACGGAGCCCTATGGGCCCGGTGAGCACCGTCTGGAGCTACTGAACTGCGGCCACGGCCTGTGCGCGGGCTGCCTGCACCAGCTGCTGGGCGCCACCCGCAGCACCGACCTGGGCCGCGTGCGCTGCCCCCTGTGCCGCCAGAAGACACCCATGCTGGAGTGGGAGATCTGCCGGCTGCAGGAAGAGTTGCTGCAGGCCGACGGGCCCCAGCCCCCGCCGCCTGCCACACCACCAGTGTTGCCCCGCCGCGGCCCCGGGCCCTGGGCTGCCCTGGAGCACCGCTACCAGCTGCGCTTCCTGGCGGGGCCCATGGGCGTCCAGGGCTGCCTGCCCTTCCTGCCCTGCCCACCCTGCCTGGGTGCCTGGCTCTGGGCCCTGCGGGAGCGGGGACCCTGCGCCCGCCGCCTGGCTCTGCTGAGCCTGCTGAGCCTTGAGCTGCTGGGGCTGCTGCTCATCTTCATGCCCCTCATGCTGCTGGGGCTGCTCGTCGTGTTCCTGGACCGCGCCGGCCGCTGAGCGGGCCATCGGGCACCCTGGACGCCATGGGCTAAGGCCTGAGGCCCAGGCTGAAAGGCCCACATTGAACCCAAGTCTTTAATCAAGAGCTGCCTTCATTAAACCCGGGATCCTGGGTTTGGTCCTGGCCAGGTCAAAGAAGCGAGCACCACTCTGTGGCCAGACACTGTCCAGCCCAGGACACTCAAGGACAACTGTGGGAGGGGCCAGCCCCCTCCTGGCTGAGGCCCAGCCCAGGATCCCCCTGTCTGCAAAGGGGTCTGGGCTGGGACTGCCAAGCTCAGTGGACAGGAGAGAGACCAGAGAAGTCCGCAGTGAGCCAGTGCTGTGGAGCGGGCAGGGGCCACAGGGCACACCACCCACCCGTATTCCAGGGCCAGTGTGTGTCCCCTGAAGGTCAGGGCTGCTGAGGGGAGGAGCCCGTGCCGCCTCTGGAGGCTCAGCCTGCCTGCCGCCAGGGCCTCCTCACCAGACCTGGGTCAGGACCAGAGGGGTGGCCGCAGCAGCCAGGGGGCTCGGCAGCAGCCGGGGGGGCTCGACACCAGCAGAGGCACCCACCTGCAGCTGGCCGTGGCAATGGCCAGGGCCGCCAAGGCCTGGGTGCCCGAGAGTGCTGGGCTCAGGCCCGGCTCAGCTGTCCACGGACTGCCCGTGTGATCTCAGACAGTGAGGGTGTGTCACTGAGCCCCCGTGTCCACCTGAGGAAGGAGATGGCCCCCTGCGACCTCACCGGCTGTGGGTGAGACGGCCCGGGAGGGAGCGTGGACGTGCTGAGGCAGAGCCCAGCACAGCAGCGCTCTCAATAAATAGCAGCTGGTGGCGGTGTCAGTAATGGTACTACTGTCATCATTGTTATTACTGTCACCTGTCCTCACCCCCCATCACGGACCCTTCTCCAAACCTCGGTGTTCTGAGTGCCAGACAGGAGGCCCCCCGGATCCTCATACCCCCACCACAATCTCAGCCAGCCTTTGTCCCAAACCCTTGCTCACCTGGCCACAAAGGCAGTTCCCACACCACCTGGGAGGACCCAGACCCGAGCTCAGGGCCAAGTGGACAGCAGGGGTGACGGCTGGGATGACTCTGAGTGGCACCCAGCACAGCCAGCGCACACCTGCGGCCGGTGCAGAGGAAGAGACCTCCCTTGGACCAGTTAGGCCTGCTCTGTCCGAGGCTGGCCAGCTCTGCTCCAACGTGGGGGCACTCGCAAGCCCACACGCTCATGGCCAGGCCCAGCCCACACGAGCAGCTGTACAAGTGGCTGCCATATGGAAAGTGCCCACAGCAGCTCCAGGCTGGATGTATGGGCTGCAACCCCCTGTGCCCACCCTGGGCCCAGGCCTGGGCTCAGGCCACGGGAGCCAGCTTCAGTCCAGGGAACGAGGTGCGTACTTTGGCAAAGAGTTTTAATGGCAGAGTTGGCTGCAGCGACAGTGCCACACGGGGTGGGGCAGAAGCCACGGTGGGCGTGGAGGGGTCAGCGGGCAGATGGGCGGGGTCCCTGGAGAAGCAGAGCGAGGGCTGGTGGCAGTAGCGGCAGGCGGCAGCAGCAGGGGTTACATGATGGAGCAAGCCGAGAGGGGGTTCCGCACGTGGCAGGTACACGCAGCCCCGCAGTACTGCCGGAAGGTCTGGTAGCAGCTGCCCTCAGGCTCACCACCCCACTGGCCGCTGGGTGGGGCGGTCAGCGCCTCGGGGGGCAGGCGGTTCAGGATGGACGTGTTGACGGCCAGCGCGGCCAGGCCGTAGTCCGTGAAGAGCACGGTCTCGCGGTGGCAGGTGGGGCAGGAGATGAACTTGTACTTGGGGCAGGACTCATAGAGGATCTGCAGGCACTGCTCACACACGGAGTGCAGACAGGACAGCACACGGGGCCGCCGCTGAGTGACGTTGTACGTATGCCCGCAGGTGGGGCACTCCAGGGGCTCGCCGGCGGTTGCCAAGGGGGCTGCCGGGGCCGCGGGGCCAGGCCGCATCACATACTGGTTCACAATGACCTCGTCCGCCGGCGCCACGCGGGGGAAGCCCAGCTCTGCGCTGCCCTTGCGGTGCCGGCGGGGCAAGGGTGGGGTGTGGGACGCCCCTTCCAAGGCAGGCATGTCTCCCCCACATGCCTGGTTGACAATGATTTCTGTGTCTGAGGGCCAGGCGCGCTTGGGTGCCAGGGCAGGGGTGGGCCGGGGTGCAGGGGGGAAGCAGGGGGCAGCCGCCGGCAGCTCAGGGAACTTCTCGGGATGCACGATCTTCATGGCCTCCATCTTGAGGATGACGTGGGGGCCCTTCAGGCAGGACATGAGGAGGCCCGGCCAGCCGCTGCCCGCCTCGGGCCCAGGGTCAGCCGGCATCCGGCTGTCTTCGGTCAGACTGGACGTTCGGGAGGACGAGGGCGTTGGGTGGGGGCGGGGGGGAGGCAAGGGGGCAGCATCCTGGTCCCGCCAGGCCTGGGGGGGACCCCGGCCGCCCCGTGGACTCCTGGGGGCAGCCGGCAAGAGCTGGGGGGGCAGGGCCCCCCCCAGTGGCCACAGTGGCTTGTCTGGTCCAGTGCTGGGAGGAGGAAGGGGTGGGGGTGGGGGTGGGAGGCGAGGGCAAGGGAGGGTGGGAAGCTGCCCTGGGCCGGGGGTCTCGCCCAGGGTCTCACCCAGGGTCCTGGACTTCAGAGGCTGGCGAGGGGGTGTGGGGGGGGATCCCCCAGCAACCGAGGTCAGCAGTCCCTGCGCCGGGACATCGGGGCAGGCAGGGGCTAGGTGGGCCCCATGGCTCCAGGGCAGGGCGCCCAGGGAAGGCAGCTAGCCTGCGCCCTGGCCTCCCGAGGACCTGGGCCCCAGGCACGTCGGTAGGAGCGGTGGAGAGGCCTGTGCCAGGCCCGGGCTGCAGGTGAGAGATGGTGTGAGGGCGGCGCCTGGGCCACCCACACCCGGCTGCCCCAACCCTCACCTTGCACAAAACCCGAGAGACTTGACCTCCGACCCTGATCTGGCCGCGGGTGCCCCGCACCGCGAGTCTCGGGACCCAACCCCTCCCGGCGCCCACCCCCAAGGCCTGACGCACCTTCCAGAAGACCCGCCCTTCCCGGCAAGTGGAACGGGAAGCTCGACCC